GAAATTAGCTTACAGATGCAAAGTTCTTACATTAAATTTATTTGAAAATGTCACATGGGACAAGATAGTTCCTTATTTAGAGCCCAGAACTTCCCTATAATCTCCAAGTATTCAAAACAAAGGAGTACATGCTAATCTGGATCATTAGAGGAAGATTTTCTTATGAGGATTGTAACTTGTTTTTGGTGAAGAGAAGAAAGGAATGAAATATTTGGTATGGCTGTCTACCTGTTCCTGACTTTTCTTTCTTTACTCAGTACATCAGTTCAACTGCCAGGTATGTTCCGGTCCTGACTTTTATACATCACTTCAATATATAATATATATATATTGAAAAGTGCTTCTCTTTGTCAATGTTCTCTCTAATTTTCCTCATCAGTGTGCAGAATAAATGTTATTATGCACCAATGCATGTGCAAGTGTGCACGACCAGTAAAAATACATGCTGCTGGCTGTGGGCACTCTGTTAATCAGCTGTGTGGACCTGAATCTCTCTTGGGTGGCCACTCAAGTCCATAGCTTACAGAGAACATTGCTCTTTGTCCTTTCCTTAGGCACTTTAACTTTCTCCTTTGGGGCAGAGTGAGATTACTTATGATCTGTATTAACCTTAATGTAAAATAGTTTCACCCCATTTTGGTGGTATCCAGAGTCCTCGGATTTCCTTCAGGCTCTATAATTAGGTTTTAGAACAAAATATGGGTCAGAAACTGTGCTGGTCAACTTGGTCAAAGCCTGTAGTAATGTGTCAGTTCTGATTCTTTAAGATCTATCTTGTACCTTTGATACCATTCAGCATGAGTTCTTGCCGCTATGCCTACTGGGTCTGAAAGGCACAAGGGCTTTCTTTGGGTGAGGGCCCAGAGGTTGGTCATCTGCTCTTACTTTTCTGCCCAAAGACTCCCTTGAGATTCTCAATTAGGCAACCTCCTGGTTCTGTGGTGATAACTGTGGTGACAAAGTGGACTTGAAGCCTGCAGAAGGGAATGAGGAACAAAGTTCACGATGGCCATTTTGGAGCCAGAGGCATTAATTGTACCTGCACAAAAGGTAGTCTATTCTAAGCTGTTCCTTTCATTTCTTAGGGTGTTACAATTGGAGCTCATTCATTTTATTTTTACTTTTCTGACCGAACTGAAAAACCAGCAAAAATAATTTTGAGTGGATGAAATGTGGCGTTTGACTAAAAGTGAAATGAGACATAGGGCTGAAAGAGACCTCCGGAGGTCATTGAATCCAGCCACCCGCCCAAAGCTGGACCAGTCCCAACTAAATCGTCCCAGCCAGGGTTTTGTCGAGCGAAGACTTAAAATCCTCTAGGGATGGAGAGTCCACCACCTCCCTAGGAAACCCATTCGAGTACTTCATCACTCTCCTTGTGTACTTCACACTGCTACGTCTCTATTACCTCTCTAGAGCTGCTGGCAATGCTCCTTCTAATACACTCTAATATGCCGTTAGCCTTCTTGGCTACAAGGGCACTCTGTTGACTCATATCCAGCTTCTCCTCCACTGTAGTCCCCTCCTTTTCTGCAGAACTGCTACCTAGCCAGTTGATCCCCAGACTGTGACAGTGTTTGGGATTCTTCCTTACCGAGTGCAGGCCTCTGCACTTCTTTTTATTGAACCTCATCAGACTTCTTTTTTCCCAATCCTCTAATCTGTCTAGGTCGCACTAGACACTATCCCTGCCTTCTAGTCTTTCCCCCTAGCTTAGTGTCATCTGCAAATTTGCTGAGGGTGCAATCCATCACCTCATCCAGGTCATTAATAAAGATGTTGAACAAAACTGGCACTAGAACTGATCCTTGAGGCACTCTGCTTGAAACTGACTGCAATCCTGACATCGAGCCATTGATCACTACACGTTGGGCCCAACAATCTAGCCACCTTTCTATCCTCCTTATAGTTCATTTACCAAATACTATGGTTTGGTTTGGTTTTCAGCTTCCAACAATGAAACAGAAGTCATATTTGACACACAAAGTAGTTTTGAATAATAAGATAAAATATTTTATTTAGAAAATAGTGATATCTTTTGACTTTTAATTTTTTTTCCGCTGACTGAAAACACTTCAATGAATTAGTAAAATATTATGGTCAACCTGAATTCTTCATTTTTTGGCTAATAAAAATTTCATTTAAACTTTTTTTTCCCACCTCTATTTACAGTTAGAGAGTTAGACATGGTGACTTCACCCCTCTTTTTGCAGCGATACATGGTGATCATGTCATCCACCCAATTAGCTCTACTTCCCTTTCTGTCAGCCATTTTTGCTGCTGCAGCTGTGAGGGAGAAGAAAAGAAACCACACTGATAGCAATTCCCACCTTAGTTCCTCATCTCCTGGCACTGGAGAGAGGAGATGTGAAGACAGAAGCACAACACAGCTTAGGAAACTGTTG